AGACGCTTTTATTATTTTAAAAAGTTACGTATGGGTGGAGGAAACACCCTTTGCATTGAGTTGCGTAATAAAGAAAACACTTTTGATTTAGTTAAACTTAATATCTTTCAAAATTTTTATGCATTTCCGCCGGAACTTGTTTGGCACTTCAACGAAAATCACAGTTGTCATTTTGGTTCCTCGTTCCTTCTTGTACGTGTGAATAGTGAAATGCTTCTCGTTGGCGTTTTGTTCGCTATTCCTTATGCTCGATTTCCGCTAGGCATTAAATGGCAAAAATGACAAGTTGGGCATTAAACAATTTTCGTGTCCATTATGTGGAAAAAATAGTCATTCTGCCCCCATCCTGAAAAAAATGCACCCGAAAATTTGTCATCCGCCCACAGTAAAACAATGGAAAGAAATCAAAAGTGAAAAGTGAACAGGTTCGGGGAAAATGAAACTCGTGATAAGGCTGGTTAAGTTCGTTTTCACAGGGTATTTTTTTTCGTCATTTCAATGCCTAGTGGAAATTCGGCATTAAGGTTCTTCGTTCTACGTATTTATAATATTTGAACACTTCAAAATTGTTGCAATTTTCCCTGAATATTTCTTGTGCAATCCTATTGTGCTGTTAATTATTATTTTTTTTTATTTTTTTTTTATATTGGCAAAAAAGTACTGGTAATAAGATATATTTCAAATTTGCCGATATTTTCAAATTTTTGTTATTTTAGCGCATATCCGAAGAAGGCGACACCTAATTTTTTTTTAGTAAATTGAGCGCATGTCGGTGCGACATCTGCCGAGAACAAGCAGACAACAGCTGCAGTTTAAAATGTGCTACTGAGCAGTTTGGAGCACTCCGCATTAGGCTAGATGGGTAGTGAAACTCGATGCAATCAAAACATTAGACTATGTTCAAACAGCCACCTAATGGCAAATTAACAGCCGTATTCTAACAAAGTCACAAACTTTAGCTCATCACTGCTGAGATTTCTACTGCGCCTCAAAGCTTACTGCTGCAAAACGTATGCCGCTACCATGCAAATTATTAAATTTTTGTGTATTTTTCTAGCACTCAAAATCGAATTTTTTGTGACACATTTCTCGGCGCACTAGAAATCACAACAGTAATGAGCTAAGTTTTGTGACTCTGTTAGAATAGAGGGGTAAGAATCATTCACCAATTTAAGCCCTAATTGCTACCCAATTTATCATACAAAAATTCTATTTGCTATTTGTGTCAGACTCTCTTAGGGTACTCACAGTTCTATATTATCTACTGTGTTAATTTTGCCACCTGGTAACTTTAAAACATTTTACCATGTGGTAACTTTGTTTGTTGTTGGTTCCCATACTAATTAGAGATAACACTTTTGGGCAAAATTACTAGACTTTGTCTCATGTTTATGTTCTGTGTTAAACTGGCATCTATCGCTGCTTGTACATACATACATGAATTTCGCTTTGGGCGCAGCGCTGCTTGTACATAAGTTTCTCTTTGCGCCTGCCGGGAGCTGGCAAAGGTAATTTTTTTTTTATTTTTGCGCTGTGCTAGCTGAGTATAAAAAAGAGAAGAGAGAATAGAGAGAAATATGTATGTGGTTTGTTGATGCTCTCTAAACACAAACGCGTGAAAGGCAAACGGTCTAGCAATACGTGGTATTGTTGATCAACTTAATACTTTATTTAAACATAAGGGTTGCTCACAGTTCGAGTGTGTTATCTTGTTAAAGTTGCCACCTTTTAACTTTAGAAGTAAACTGTGAGTACCCTATCTATGCAACCCTGCTAGGTATGTTTAATTTTGACTTGGAAGTGTGTTTGTGGAACAAAGAGCAATCAGCTGTTTGTTTCTGGTCCTTTTCTACAGCTGATAGTCCATCAGGGATGGAAAATTTAATTATAAAATTATAGCTAATTTACGGAAAAGTTTGCCTTAAAGTAGATAAATGTATCAAAAAAGTAAATATGTATGTATAAAGAAAAATAGGAGGATAACAATTCCCACCGATACCATATCAACTTCTGTACTCACATTAAACAAAGTTTGGATATGATAAGAATGTCTTCGAGCAGCGCGAGACAAAACTATATTGCAGAAAAAGTGAATTACTTTCCTCCCAGTTCATCGATCTGACGTTTTAAAAATAAATATTTTCCATCTATCTGGCGAAATCAACCACAATTGCGTTACTTTGACCACCCTTCTCTATCATTAGCATGCCCTTTCACAAAGGAGGGAAGCTATTAGACCAGTTTCCCGCATCAGAAAATGGATTGAAATGTCAATAAAAATAAGAACTAATTTCCTGAGAAGTTATTTGGCTACGTTCCAAATGTACCTAAAATTGTGTGTTTGTGCCGAATGTACTTTCAAAGTAAATTAAGGTACGATTGTACTAACTTTTACATCACTGTAGGTAATCCAGCAGCTGATTTCGTAAACCTTAATCGCCTCAGCTAATTGGACTGTTTGAACGTATTCTTAATTACAGTAGCGAAAATATCCGATTTTCTGTCAGCTGTGTTTACCGACACGCAACACCTACTGGAGAAGAGCGGTTAAGAGCCACTGCAGTGTTCCTCAAAACTATTGTATGAAAGGAATTCCCATTTGATTCTTATCCTATTCCGGTTTCCGTTAGTGTATGTTGATACCAAAACTGCAGTTGCGGTGCCAATGTGATTTAAATTTCGGACGGAAAATAAGTTTTAACAGTTTTAAAGCTTAGCTATAGTCGCTAATGCATGCGGCAATGCAGTGCAAGCGGATAAAGCAGTGCATCTACGCACTTCGCTTATTTCGGTTATTTTAATTTATTTTCTTATCGCGTCCGTTGTATGCCTTAATGCCTTTGCCTATATTTCATCACAAACATGTTTTCTTCTTCCCCTTCGCAGATTACTTGGATTGACGGTCTGGGCAATGTGCTCAGCAAAGGCATCGAATATGTGAAAGAGCCGTTATCAGACTCGAGACGCATAACAGCCAAGTCGATACTGAAGTTGGCACCGAAGAAAGAGCATCATAATACGACTTTCACATGCCAAGCGCAGAATACAGCGGATCGCACATATCGCTCTGCCAAAATACTAATCGAGGTGTGTAAGGCGGCATGAAATTATTTTTGAATTTGTGTTCGTTTCAATGCAAATTATCTCTTTGAATTTAGGTCAAATATGCACCCAAGGTAGTGGTAGCCGTCATTGGCGGCGCCTTGGCTGGTGGTCGTATTCTCGAGGGCTCCGAAGTTATACTCTCCTGCCAAGCGGATGCGAATCCACCGCCGCAGAGTTATCGTTGGTTCATAAATGATGAATTGGTGACCGGTGATTATACAACGAAAATGGTGAGTTTTGTACATTCATTTCGCTTTCTATTGATGGAAAAACTCATTGGTTTATTTTATTTGCTTGCAGATCATACACAATGCCACGCGCCAGCATCATGAAGCTTCGGTTAAGTGCGAAGTTGTCAATGCGGTGGGCAAAAGCGAAGAGACTGAAACCTTGGACATCAGCTGTGAGTATTAGAGTTTTAGTTATATTTTTTAGATAGAGGTGCATAGATCTGTAAGAAAGTGAGTTCTTTGAAGGGGGTTGTTCTATGAAAGCTCGAACCTCCTCCCGCCTCTGGATAATTATTTTTCCTAACCTTTTCAGGACACAGTTGCGGAACTACCACGCAGGTGATGTGCCTGACAGTTCGCGCTTTACTTCGCCATATACATACATAATTGGCTCCGGTACAGTTTCAAAGATCCGCAGTTCGCCAAATCATCAGCCAGTTGAGTGCTTTGAACACCAACCATATACAGCCTCAACTTACATTATTGATCGATTTTTGGTCGGGTATGGGTAATTTTCAAGTCCTTTAGAACAGTTTAGCTGTCACTGCGGACCACTACCTTAACTAAGTATTGCCAATAAACCTAAAGCTAATGCTAGTCGACTCTAGTTCTGTTTACCGTCTTGAGAACGTCAGTATAGTACATTTTTAGCGAGCTCCCCAAGAGAGTTTCTGGATTTCTTCATTCTTCTCTTGAAAAGAAGGTATACCTATATAAGAGCGTATTTTCTACCAAAGGACATTCCAGGTATGAGTTTGCCATTTGCACTTTTTCTGATAAACTTCCAAACAACTCTCTGGGTCCGGAACTCTGATTGTCATGCCATGATTCAAGGGACTGAGGTCGACAATTTCGACTCGACATATCGTCTCTTCTTAGACTTTAAATCCAGGGTTGGAAAACCCCACATTGCTTTAAAAGCACAAACATACACAGCTCTTTTTACATACGTAGTCACTATGTGTGATGACCACAAGAAAAGCCCCAATATAAAGTTATCAGGAGATGTGTTACTTCCAGGAAAAGGTTTGGGTTTACGCCTGTAAGCATCAGCACGTCGACGCTTTCGAATTTTCTTTACTGCGTAAACTATTCTGCAAGTCTACCATTAATCGATCTTGTTCAGGATTCTCTGTGACTTTACACAAACCTCCCTGAGTTATTTTTCAGACGCTACTACACAAACATCACCCACGTAAGCATTTCTCTAAACAGGGAGTCCTCTCCAAACACCACAAGAGACACAAAACTAAATATTTCGAGAACGAGAACGAGACAAGATACTGGTTTCGGACCAAAAAATTGAAAATTTAAACCCTATCTAAAGAAGCTTAATTTTTTTTCTTAAAATAATCTTTTTCTTTCAGATGGTCCTATCTTCCGACACCGTCCCATCTCTGTTGAGGCAGATCTCGGCACCAATGCCAATTTGCGTTGTGACGTAGATGGCAATCCGACGCCAGAAATCGAGTGGATCAACGAGAATACCGATCAGGTACGTATATTCGTCTCAAACTACAACCTTTAAATAGTTCTCTCCCACATAACAGTGTAAAATTTTCTCTCATTAATGTTTTTTAAATTATTTCCAACAGGTCGTTGGCACTTCGGCGAATCTTACACTTAAAGTGACAGCTGAGTCTGCTGGCCGTTACTACTGTAAGGCAATAGTTTCCGGATTTCCAGAAATAGGCGCCGAGGCAACGGTTTTTGTTAAGCGTGCACCGATTATCACCTCGCATAAGGTGCAGTTCGGTGCTGTGGGGAGTCGAGCGAAAATCGATTGTGTGGCTTTCAGTGTGCCCAAAGCAGAGCAGATTATTTGGTCATTCGATGGCAAGGTGATAAATATGAGCACTGCCGATCCAGATATATACATTTTCGAGGAACAACATCTGCCAGAGGGTGTGCGCGCGGCGCTAATAATCAAAGAGAGTCGCTCCAGTCATTACGGCCGCTACAATTGTACGGTGATGAACTCGTATGGTAGTGACTCATTGCTGATCAATTTAAGACCAGAACGTGAGTTATAGAGATTGAAATGAGCTTTTGTGTTGTTTTTATTGAAATTTCATTTCCATTTGCTTTTCCAGCTGGTTCAGTGCCCGTGCTGCTTGTCGTTATGGGCTCACTCTCCTCGGTCGCCATTGTCATAATGATTGTGATGCTGGTGATTGTTTACATGAAGCGCAGTAATAAGAAACCCATGCCGGCGGATGTCATACCGGATGCATCACGTGGTGGTGATAAACTTTCCGATCTGAAGAACGAATTACGCAGCAAAGCTTATGATGTTGATTACTCAGAGGCGGGCTCTGATGGTTTGGCGATCAATCTGACACAAACGCCAATGCCTGATGTACAAATGAAGGGCGCCACGCTGGGTGTGCCACTGGCGGGGCCAGTGAAGTTGGACGACAGGTGAGACTCAGCGCATTCCTTTTATGGCAAGGACTTTTTAATAAAATACTTTTTATCATGCAGGTTCTCCGGCGAATTCAGCTACAGCCGCCAATGCCACATCAAAAATTTGAAGAATCAAGACTACAAAGAGACTGTCAACGGTTATGCGCCCTATTTTGAGTACGCGCTCGACTATAGTGCTCCCACGGAGAGTGGCAAGCCCGGCGGCACGGCTAACAGCAATGCCAATAAGCCCCAGTCCAGCACAATCAACTCGGCCACTTTGCCGCACTACACAAATCCCGTCACAACAACTGGCAACCTCAGCTTGCCACGCAACCGCAACGATATGCAGCAGCAGCCGCAGCAGAGCACCACACAAATGGGCAATGGATTCCTAGGTAAGCTGAGATACTCTTATATTTGTTTGCGCTTACTAACAGGGTATTCTAATTCCGCTCCTTTAGGCGGTCAATCGCTTCTCCAAAACGGTATTGACAGCCGCTTCAGCGCCATCTACGGTAATCCCTACCTGCGCTCAAACTCATCACTGCTGCCGCCTTTGCCACCACCAAGCACGGCCAATCCCGCCGCCACACCTGCGCCACCACCCTACCAACGTCATCACCACCATCCCAGCGGTCAGCAGCATGCGAACATGAACGGCGGTATCGGCGTGAATGCGTTGAAGAGCTACAGCGCCGCTGCGGGTGGCATTGGTATTGGAGTCAATAGCAGTAATGGTGCTGGCAGTGTTAGCGGTAGTAGTTCGAATTTGACAGCCAGCAGCAATACGTTGGCGGCAATGACACCGCTCACACAAGCTGCACCCATTTCCAGCGCCACACCGGTAACCACAACGACGCCAGTGGGAGTGTCGGTGGCGATGGCGCAAAGTCCCTCCGGCCAATTTATCCTACCATCGAATGGCAAGTCGAAGAATGGCGCCTTGGCTACGCATGTCTAAGACAAAGCGTAGGCGCTTGCGCCATCCATGGCACCTTTCAAGCACGTACACAACAGCACCCTGTATACAATTTTGAAGCACATTGTACTTTAGTCGCACACGCTACCCAAAACGCAGCATCAAAAGCAGTTAGAAGATAGTACACGCGTCCTTAAATGTCAAGCTACGCACATGCGCATCCGCATTCAGATATGTGTGTATGTATTTATATATGGATGTTGTATGTATGTAGATATATGTACATACATACATACATATGTGTTTGAGTATGTGGCCCTAAATACATAGATACATATATATAAATTGTGTATACAAACATATACATATACATATATCTAAGCCAATCTAGGGGTCAGCTCATTCTGAGTAACTGGCCTGCCCATATCATTAGCGTATCTGTAGCATAAATTTTTAAAGCAAAATGTAAAGAAATTGTAAATTGCTAATAACTGAGAAAGCTGGCAGAGATTTTAGTCAATTAGAGCAAATTGTACATTTTTAACGATAAATTTTAGAATACTAAATAGGAGATGTGATGAACTAAGTATGTTTATGAAAATAATCAGATGCCCTAAAAGGTAAAATAAAATAAAAAAAGTATGCTTACTAAATTAAAATTTAAAAAGTCAAAAAAATAAATGAAATAAAAATATAAAAATTATGATGAAATACATTAAAATATACTGAAATAAGTATAAAGAACTGTAAAATAAACCAAAAATAAATAAATTTAAAAAAGTATAA